GCTGCTCATGGCCTCCTAGGAAGACAGGGGTACAGGGGCCTCTCCCTTCTTCTCCTAGTGAGCTGGTGCCCATCCCGGACCCCCAGGGAGGATGAAGCAGTCCTACCTCGATGCCCCCAGAGCTCTTTGTTTACTTTTCCATTACTGCACTCTGTCAATAAATACTTACTGAGAACCCAGTATGTGCTAGGTAGCTGGATATACTGTCATGACATGAACAAGTGTCCGTCCTCAGGGGCCCTGGAAGTCTATTGGGAGAGTTCATCACTTTGAAGCCTGGCTCCTCATGCACCTCACATACAGGTTGAAGTCAGCTACATGAGGAGTCCGTACCACACACCGTGACGGGTTTCCAGAGCGCTATCGTGGGTACTCAGAAAAGTTCGCTGAATGAATGAAATGGATCTATAGAGGAGGCTATTCCTTGGGCCCAGGTCTCTGAAAGCTCTTCATGAAAGATCTACCCTAAAGGCACCTGAAAGTCTTTAATCTCCCAGAATCCAGACACAAATATCCCAACTGAAATCTTCCCCATGACTTACTCACGTATCCTTAAGCCACAGATTGACTTCATAGCCACAGATCCGTGAATGAATACGTGAATCAGTAACAAGAGCAGCTTAAATTTCTGGGTCAGAGACACCCTGAAGAGAGAGCAAAGTGATTGTTTACAAGACATGTTAAGATTCCTGGAGGCTGCAGGAAGAAGGCGGCTACTGGGAGGGGGTCTATTTTCAACCAGCCATTGCCTAAGAACTTAAGAAGAGGGTTTTTTGTTGTTGTTGCTGTTGTTGTTAATTGAAAGAAAAAAGGGGAACCAAAGAACAGATGGGTATTTTCCAAACCCTTTCAGCCATGCCCATATATCATCTGCATCACTGTAAATATATGGGACACAAAGTCAAACACCCGTGAAGAGAGGCATAAACACTCAGAGCCCATGTACGCACTCGCACATGTGCAGTCACCGATGACCTGGAGAACCACGGGGCTCTTTGGATTCTAACAAATGAGCTTTGGAAAAGAGAAAAGTATTTCATAGGCAACACTGAATAGCAATTTTACAGGCCTAGTTAGTATAAACCCACTGGACTTTTATTAATTAGGTGCATTCTCTTGTAACATTTAAAATGATCTCCTTGATGTCTGATTGTGCACAAATCAAATGGGACCTGCCTATTTTGGAGCATAGGTTATCTGATGTAGTGAATGCCTCCTTTTGTCTATAGAGAAATATTCTGGAAAGGTCGTTGTATATGTCCTGTCCAAAGTTGCTTTAAATCAAATAGGAAAAACAATTAGAAAACAAGAATCTATCCACATAATGCATCACATGACTCTACAAACCACTAGATGACTATAGCAATAGTAACTGCTTCACTTGTACAAGGAAGTACTATCTTCATGGTCATTCAAGAGATGGAGCTTTAGGTACTGCAGCTTTGCGTCCATGGGATCACAGAATGAGTTAGAAGGCATCTTACAGGTCTCTTTTAGAGACAGGAGGGCTTAGAATTAGAGGAGAGTTGAATATAGGGGACAATTCACAAAATAAGCAAGGAAACTGAGTATTGTATAGGCAAGGAAACTAAAGCCTGCAAAGATTTTGACACTCATATGGGGTCCATCAGGATCCTTAATTAAATTATAGGTGTTTGCCTTTGCAAATCTACTCTCCATTTTTCTTCTGCTGTTTGTTCTAGGAGGCCGATCTGCATGGGCTACGTCAGTGGTTCTCAAAGTGTGGTCCCCAGACCACCTCGGAACTTTTTAAAAATGCAGATTCTCAGGCCTCACCAGAACCTACTGAATCAGAAATGTTGGGGTGGGGTCCAGCAATCTGTGTTGTACGACGCCTTCCAGGGAGTGCTGATGTGTGCTGATGTTAGAGAGCCCTGGACGACGTCAGACAGGCCGATTAGCCACGGGCTTCCCTCTTGGCCTTGGCAGGTGAGGAACACTGGCAGGAGATCCCAGATAGGAGTGAGTTCAGGATTGTTTTTTTCCCCAGGTTCGTTCCCTGTGGGATTGTCTAGGACTGGCTGCAGCAGGGCACCAATGTCACTGTACTTCCCAAGGCAGCCACTGAACAATGTGGCCCCTTCCTTCCAGAGCCAGGACCCACTCCCTCTCCTCACCCTGTAGGTCTGGCGATGGTAACAGTCCCAGTTACTTGCTCCAGAACGCTGCTCTCTTCCTCATGGTTCCCCTACACTCCACTCTTATCTTGGTAAAGTGTCCCTATATTTGGCCCTCCTCTAATTCTAATTTAGATGTGCCATCTGGGATATTCACCTGGTTCACATCCAGATAGAAAGCTGCTTGTCTGGGTCATGGGAATGGAGCCTGGTGTGGCCCCACAAGACTTCTCTCAGATGGGATAAGAATCTATCTTATCCCAAATGGCCCTGGGATATTCCTAAATGCCATATTTATAGCAAAAGCTCATAAAACGTATTGATAACAAATATGACCATGACATTTATTGTGTCACTCCCAAGACAAAATGTGTTTCTCCCCATAGATGGCCTATGTTGAGTTTATTTTTTTCTTCCTCTCCCCTCTCATTGGCAGGTACCATGTGGCAAATAACTTGGCTTACCCTGGCTCAAGACCCTCTCCAAGAGCCCTGATCGGTCTTTATCTCCTAAACCCTTGGCTCACAAACTCTTTTCCCTTAAATCCACCCTGCCTCTTCTTGTTTGTTTTCATATTATGATAAAATACACATACTCTACATTTTACCATCTTGATTATCTTCAAGTGTACAGTTCAGTAGCATTAAGTACATTCACATTGTTGTGTTATCATCCACCACCATCCACCCACAGAACTCTTTTCCTCTCGTAAAACTGAAACTCTGTATCCATTCAACAACGCCTCACTTCCCCTCCCTAATCCCCGGCCCTGGGAACCACCATTCTACTTTCTGTCTCTATGTACTTGATGACTAAGTACCTCGATATGAGTGGAATCTACTGTATTTGTCTTTTGGTAACTGGCTAATTTAACTTTGCATCATATTCTCAAGGTTCATGCATGGTGTAGCAAGTGTCAGAATTTCCTTGTAAGGGTAAATAATGTTTCATTGCATGCATGTATCCCATTTTGTTTATTCATTCACTGTTGATGGGTACTTGGGTTGGTCGCTTCACGTTTTAGCTATTATGAATAATGCTACTACAAACGTGTGCACAAATATCTCCCTGAGATTCTGCTTTCAGTTATTTGGGGTATACACCTAGAAGTGGAATTGCTAGATCATATGGTAGCTCTATTTTCAATTTTTCGAGGAACCATCATACTGTTTCCTGATAATGGATGCATCATTTTACGTTCCCACCAACAGTGCACACGAGTTCCAATTGCTCCACATCCTCACCAACACGTTAATTATTTTTTATAGTAGCCATCCTAATGAGTGTGAAATGGTATCTCACCGTGGTTCCGTTTTTATAAATCTGCCAGGTTACAATGCTATTTCCTCCACCTAGGATGCCATCCCTATGTGCCTATTAAATATCTTGCCAGTTGAAATCAATCTCCTCCAGCTTCCTATTATTTTAACACGTTGTGCTTTTATTCTAACACCTACACCCCCTCCCTTATGCTGTCACTGTTTTGTTTTGTTTTGTTTTGTTTTTCATTTGCCTGTCTGCTCAATTTGGATGCAAGTTTGAGGACAGATGTCTTGGATTGTTCATCTTCGTATCTCCCAGTGTGTATTTAGCCCAAGGCAGTACACAGTGTAGGCTCTGAAATCCCAATTGACTTGAAATACTGAAGGCCATCCACTTAGTGGAAAACCCAAAACCAGACCCAGGTTTTGGGCCTCACTCTTAGTTCAGTGCTCTTTCTGCTGGTGAGGGACATTAGAACCACATTAAAAATAAACATGTGGACCCTTTTCACAAGATGGCACCGAAAGCGAAGAAGGAAGCTCCTGCCCCTCCTAAAGCCGAAGCCAAAGCGAAGGCTTTAAAGGCCAAGAAGGCAGTGTTGAAAGGTGTCCACAGCCCCAAAAAAGAAGATCCGCACGTCACCCACCTTCCGGCGGCCCAAGACACTGCGACTCCGGAGGCAGCCCAAATATCCTCGGAAGAGCGCCCCCAGGAGAAACAAGCTTGACCACTATGCTATCATCAAGTTTCCGCTGACTACTGAGTCTGCCATGAAGAAGATAGAAGACAACAACACACTTGTGTTCATTGTGGATGTTAAAGCCAACAAGCACCAGATTAAACAGGCTGTGAAGAAGCTCTATGACATTGATGTGGCCAAGGTCAACACCCTGATTCGGCCTGATGGAGAGAAAAAGGCGTATGTTCGTCTGGCTCCTGATTACGACGCTTTGGATGTTGCCAACAAAATTGGGATCATCTAAACTGAATCCAGCTGCCTAATTCTAAATATATATATATATCTTTTCAACATAAAAAAAAATAAATAAACATGTGTCATGTTTGAAAAAGAGATGTGACTTCCTGATGTTGATTACTCACTTTCAATTTCTTCCTAACGTATTCACACACACACACAAACACCAACATTGTGCTTTCAAGCCCACAAAGTTCATGCTGTGGTCCACGAAGATCAGAGTAACGGGCTTTCTGGCAATCAGCTCTAAATTGGTGCCACATCCTGCACTAATGGCCCTGCCTTTAGACCAGATGGAGGCAGATGTTTTGTGGTTTTCCTCATTGTCGCTTGCCCTGGTGTGTTTTGTTTTCATCCCGATGTGTTTCAGTGCGCTTCCCCTCCTTTGAGGAATGAATGCGCATGTATTGTCTATCCTGATAAAGATGTCTGTGTTCTTACAGAAAATTCAGAAGCGAAATTAAAGGGCAGGAAGTCGATCTCGCCTGGTGTTAAAGTCTTTTGCGATACTGTAAGGAACTGGCCCAAGCATCTTCCATTCATCTCCCATTTTCCTTTAATCTGGGGAATGGGTTCATTCATTGTTTTGCATTCATGTCAACTCTTCATGGTTTTATCCACAGGGCTTTCCCAGAGATTAGGATTCAGCCCCTGATCCAGCGGCCAACATCCTGCTGACAAGACTGCCTTAAGCGCCAAGGACCACTCAGATCTTGAAGAAAGCAGCTCTTCTTATCACATCAGGGAAGAGGCCCCTGTTTGGCACTAAAGCACCAAGTGGGATGTGGTGAGATCACAGGATAAAGGTTACTTCCTGTCTTCAGTCTCTTTGATTTCTTTAAAGACTCTCCAGAGGGAAGTAGATAGAGGTGGAAAAGCCCACATTCTTCCTTTTAAAGGACTTCTCAGGGAACTCACCACTCTTAGCCGCTGTCCGGGTTTGAGTTAGTCATCTTACTGTTAGTTCCACACACCCTTTGAATAGGCCTGTGACTGTGTTAGAGGTCACACGGACAACCTAAAGAACTTGCATTCAACCGTTTCCTTCCTAATTGACATTGCTGGGCCTCAGTGGCAGGGCCATGTGTCAACAGCCAAAACATCTCCATTGTGTTCGTACTTGTAAGTTAATGAATCAATGGCTGTTGATTCTGGAGGCATATCTTGATCCTTTAGGTGGGTGCTCCTGCCCTCCCTGCCACCCTAATTTCCTGTCAGTGCTTGTCCCAGTGGGAATACCACACATCTCATCTCATCTGTGTCTTGGAGAGATAGGGCATGACAGGGATTTTCCGGGACTGTGCTGCCATTTTCCATGAAAAACATCCAGGTGTTCCCTTGTTAGGCATTACTTCCTTTGATCACCAGGCTCCCTCCTAGTCAGGGGTACTTTTCTCAGTCAATTTCAAGCCTCAAGGTCATAGATTCCTTGATAAACACTTGCCTCTCCTTGTAGCTGCTTCTTGCCCTCATTTCTGAGGACTAGACCCCAAGCCAGAAGACAAACATGGGGGGCGGTTGCCATCATTTGATTCAAAAATACACTGAAGTGGGAGTCCAATCTGAGAGTTAAGGTTTACTCTCTGTACCTTCATTCACTGGTGTGTCCATACCACTATAGTAAGACCATCCCACCCCCGTGGGACAAGAAGAGGAGAGAGGCAATTATGGAACAGGGTTTAAGGGTAAAGGCTTTAGAATCACACTGCCCAGGCTTCTTACTTGTCTCTGCCATTGCTTGTGTGACCTCAGGCAAGTCTAAAAGTCAGCTTGTTCATCTGTAAAATGGAGATATCCTATTTAATCTCCATAAAAATCATGTAAAGCTAATTCAGCTAAAACATTTAGTGAAGTATTAGGCACAGAGTAAGTAGAGGATGTTGTTTTTATCTCATATGAAGTCATTAGTCACCTGAAAGAGTGCGTATATATGACCTGGCATGGTTATAAGAAGTCATTTCCAGAGCCCTCTTCCGTAGGCAGCTTTGATCACTGAAGCATCAAGCAGTACGCGTCACGTTTATTTTCAACCCCCCAAGTGTTTGCTGTTCTTGTTTTACACATCCAGTTCCTCTGTTGCCCAAACCTACCCTTGTCCAGAGGCTCCCTGTCCACCTCATTCAGAATCTGATGGCTGAAACTACATCAGTGGGGAAGCTATTCTAAGATGTGAATTAATTCAGTTAGAGCATGTGCTGGCCCCAGTGTGAGACATTAGGGGCACAACCTTGAGCCAGGCAGACATGGTCTCTGAGCTTATGGTTTGGATTAGAGAGTAGTATAGTTCCCTCTGCTTCAGCCACAGCAGCTTCTTTACTGTCTCCTGAATATGTCAAGCACATTTCTGCCCCAGAGCCTTTGCAATGCCTGCTTCCACACTTGAACATTACGCTCCCAGACACCTTCAAGACGTGTTCCCTCCATTCCTTCAAACCTCGAATCAAATGTTCTCTTGTTGTCATTTGTGGGATCTCCATGTGATGAGCCCCTGGTCAGCTGTGGCAGTGTTCTGGTTAAGTCACCTCTGAGGCTACACCTGTGTCTGCACCAGCATTCCTCCCGCATACTTCAGAAATGTCTCCTTGGCCATTGAAACCACCTCCACAATCTTCCTGTCTTCCCTGGAATCTCTTCGGTAAGAAAGGTGATTTCCCTGTGACCCCACCCTGACTAAGTATGTTCCACCCACGATGCGTTCCCTCAAATACACCTTCCTTGTGGCTGGCACCAAGTGAATTGTCTGCTGTTTGCCCTTGGTTCCTCCGCATGTCTGTGGGCCGATTTATCAGTATGCTTCCAGAGGTCAAGAACTATCTGTTTATTTATACAAGTGTCATTACCAGGTAAATGCATAAATAAGCCAAACGAGAAAACACAGATAAACTTAGCGCCTATCCCAGAGAAGTGACAATGGAGAGTAGTTACTGGTATTAAAGGACAGATTGTTTTCAGCGATGCAGTTTTTCTTTGAGAAGTAGTGTGTGAATGTGGTATTCAAGGTGAATCCTCTCCCCAGCCACTTGTATCCCCATTTGCAGGTGGCCACTGTTGCCTGTTGCATGTGTTCTTTTTTTTTTCAGAGGTTTTGTAATGAACTTAAGTAGGGGTTTCACTATGGAAGACAAATTACTACAATCTGCTTCATAGTCACATGTGGAAATGACTCTTTCCTTCTCTCCTCATCCCAGCCAATGCCTTTCTTCACTTTCCCGTTGAGTTATTTCAATCCAAAGGAGAAAATAAATCAATGTAACAAAAAGAGTTTAAACGAATGTACCCTCCCCACTGTGGACAACTTTATAAGGAACTGCACTTAGCTGAGAGCAGCAGGGTCCTCATAGCTGCTGAGATGTTAGCCTGAAGCCAATTCCTCTATAAGACCATGTCTGCCTGGCTCAAGGTTGTGCCCCTAATGTCTCACACTGGGGCCAGCACATGCTCTAACTGAATTAATTCACATCTTAGAATAGCTTCCCCACTGACGTAGTTTCAGCCATCAGATTCTGAATGGGGTGGACAGAGAGCCTCTGGACGAGGGTAGGTTTGGGCAACAGAGGAACTGGATGTATAAAACAAGAATAGCAAACACTTGGGGGGTTGAGAATACACCTGACGGGTACTGCTTGATGCTCCAGTGATCAAAGCTGCCTATGGAAGAGGGCTCTGGAAATGACTTTTTATAACCATACCAGGTTATATAAGTGCACTCTTTCAGTGCATATATATAATTTCTTCACTAATGAAAAGGTATATGGAATTATAATATTGGATATAATTATGTATTTTAAAGTCTATTATAGGCTGGGCATAGTGGCTCGCATCTGTAATCCCAGCACTTTGGGAGGCCGAGGTGGGTGGATCACCCAAGGTCAGGAGTTTGAGACCAGCCAGGCCAACATGGCAAAAGCCCATCTCTACCAAAAAATACAAAAATTAGCTGGGCATGGTGGGCGCCTGTAATCCTGTTTACTCGAGAGGCTGAGGCAGAAAAATCACTTGAACTCAAGAGATGGAGGTTGCAGTGAGCCGAGATCGCACCACTGCATTTCAGCCTGGGTGACAGAATGAGAGACCCTGTCTCAAAAATAAATAAATAAGTAAGTAAGTAAATAAATAAATAAATAAATAAAGTCTATTGTAGGAAAAAAATCCATCTACACTAGATACCAGTAAATATATATATATATAAAAGATATATGAATATATGTATACTTATATATAAAGTATATGTATATTTTAAGGTAGTAGGACTATGATTTTTTTTGGGGGGGGTGGGGATGCAGTCTCGCTCTGTTGCCCAGGCTGGAGTGCAGTGGTGCAATCTCAGCTCACTGCAACCTCCACCTCCCGGGTTCAAGCGATTCTCCCACCTCAGCCTCCCAAGTAGCTGGGACTACAGGTGCATACCACCATACCCAGCTAATTTTTGTATTTTTAGTAGAGGTGGGATTGGCCAGGCCAGTCTTGAATTCCTGAGCTCAGGTGATCTGCCTCCCTGGGCCTCCCAAAGTGCTGGGATTACAGGCATGAGCCACCACGCCCAGCCTAATTTTTATATTTAAATTTTATTTTTTGTATTTTTATAATGAAAAATATAGAATATACTTTACAATTTATAATATTTTATTTGATTTAATTTATCTGGCTCTCACTCTTCATGTGTATTTAAATATTAATTATACTGCATTAAGAAAAGAAAAGTAATAAACTCTTTGATTCAAATACATTCAGCAAATAAAATCCATTCCCTTCTTGTCTAGATGTCTATTTCTTGGGAGCACAGATGGCACCATACAAAGTGGTGATTTTCTTGCTTGCCTGAATATTGGGATCACCTGGAGATGTTTAGAAAAAGACTAATGTTTAAGTTCCAAGAGCAGAGATTTTGATGTAGTTGCTCTGCAGTGTGGCCTGGTTTGGGATTTTTTACAAATCTCCCAAGTAATTGTAATTTGCATTGAAGGTTGAAAACCTTCTTCTTAAAAAAGAAAACAGGAATGAACACCATTGAGAATTCATCAGAATAAAGCATCTAAGAGAGTATCTTTATAGAATACAATCCACCTTGTTTTGCAGTTCAAAAATGAAAAATGGCCCAGAATTAAATAGTTTATTGAAAATAATAATGATCCCCGCTACTTAATATGTGCCTGGCGACTTTACATCTGTCATCTGTAATCATCGTAAGAACACTGAAAGGTAAATAGCATGAGGCCCATCTTTTAAAATTAAATAGTTACATAGTTATTTATTTATTTACTTACTTCCAACTTTTATTTTAGGTTCAGGGGGTACCTATGTGCAGATTTGTTACATGGGTGAATTGCATGTTGCTGGGTTTTGCTGTGCAAATTATTTCATCACCCAGATAGTGAGCATAGTCCCTGATTAGGTAGTTTTTCAATCCTTACCTTCCTTCTACCCTCCAGCTTCAAGTAGGCCCCAGTGCCTATGGTTCCCTTCTTCATGTCCATATGTACTTAGTGTCTAGCTCCCACTTATGAATGAGAACATGCGGTGTCTGGTTTTCTGTTCCTGCATTAATTTGCTTAGGATAATGGCCTCCAGCTGCAACCATGTTGCTGCAAAGAACATGATCTCGTTCTTTTTCATGGCTGTGTAGTATTCCATGGTGTATATGTACCCCATTTTCTTTATCCAGTTCACTGTTGATGGGCATCTGGGTTGATCTCCTGTCTTCGCTATTGTGAACAGTGCTGCAGTGAACACACGCGTGCATGTGTCTTTATGATGAGTGATTTTTTTTTTTTTTTTTTTTTTTTTTTGAGACAGAGTCTCACTCTGTCACCCAGGCTGGA